GAATTCTGGGAGTTGAAGTCCACTCGTCTTAAAGTGGCCAAGTTTGGACAATATTGCCTTACTGGCAACTAAAAGGTGAAAAAGGAGAAACAGTGAAATAAATTCTGTAGCACCATTTCCTGGCCCTGCAACACTGTGGTGTTTGGCTAGGAAAATCGTCTTATCTCCTTTGTGGGAAGACAGAGCAATCTTACAAGAAATAGGTAAAATCAAGTTTTATTAAAAATAGGAAAAGATAAAAGATAAATATTCTAATTTCAAAACTTTAAGCTGTCGCTTGCAAAACAGTCAGTGGTGGAGGGAATAAAAAGAGAAGGCTGTGAAAATCACAAACAGCATCTGAAAAATTCCTCCAATAGAAAAATACACTGGAAAATATAAGATTCTATATTTCTAAGTCTAAGATACACATATCACTAGCTTACATAGAGAAACATCAGGGACAATAAAATAGATTTAAAAAACAGTCAAAATAAAAATCTCATGTAATACTTTTATCTAAAAATATTATTCATCCTTTCATAGCTAAATGGATTTCCTGAAGTAAAAGCTGTTTCACTTCCTTGGGCTTGTTCAGTTTCTTGTAGTTTGCGAACTTTTGTCAGGAGCAGTGTTACTTAGGTCCTGTACCTAGCCTTGAGTACATGGATACTGCCTTTGTTTTAGAGGGACACAACCCTTACAACAGGAGCATAAAAGAGCAGCTAAAAAAGGCCTGGGTAGATAAAATGCTCCTATTTTGCAGTCTTAAAATTAGGTTATGTATAACATAAGTAGTCCTAGAGAAAAGATTCCATACTTGGGGTACCACCCTGACCAGCTGAAAATTCGTTGCAGTGTAAGGCAAAACAGCAAATTACTCTCCTACCAACCTCTGTCCCTAAGAAGAAGGATAGCCAAAGTGCTCAAGGCCAGCCAAATTAGGTACAAAATTATATATGTACTTTTTCCTCTGCCTGGCAATAAAAAAAATTACAATAATTAGTAGTTTGCCTCTCTTTCATAGCATCCTGACATAGGACCTGAGGCAGCCACCTCACTTTATACAATGATTAGGTTGGCTTTGAGTATCACTGTTGAAAAAGACCTTGGGTAGCATCCACAGAAGGGTCTACAGTGCAAATGAGATCTCAGTACAAGTAATTTTCCCAATGCTTTTTAAAGTTTCCAGCCATAGGATCTAAATGTTTAGGCATATGCAGATTCTAGTACAGCAGGCTGGACTAGCATCAGGGAGACATTTAAACTATATGTTTGCTGTGTCTGTCAGTATTTCACAGTCTGTACTTCCTCTCAGGACTTATAAAAAGGGAGAGAAAGGAGATTGGGTGGTGATTATTAGAGGAAGAGTAAGTTGAAATTGAATGACATGGAAACATTTTAAGAAACCTTTTGCAATTAAGGGTTAATTTGGCCATTTATTGGGGTTTTACAAACAATGCAATGGTAAGAGCTATATATATATGCTGATGATTCAGTATAAGGAAATAGAGATGCTCATACAGGTAGGTCTTGCTTACCAACTGCCTTGCTCAGTGACTGTTCAAAGTTATGACAGTGCTGAAAAAAAAACTTTACGACCAATGCCCACATTTACGATCTTCTTAGCATCCCTCAGTCACATGATTGCCATACAGCCAGTATGCAATGTCCTGAGCAGAACAGACAGTTTGGAGAGGAAGGGATTACAAGAGAGTAAGGAGGCATGCAATGGGGAATTCACATCAAAAGTGATGTGCTGGCACCAGCAGCTGCAAGTGCACTACGCAAACAGCCTGGTGTATTCCCCATTGCGTGCCTCCTTACTCTCTTGTAATTCCTTCCTCTCCAATCTCTCCACTCTGCAGGGGAGGGGAGGGGAAATGGGTCAGGCACAGGAAAGATTGCCTACAGAAATTGCTTGTATTTTTTCTCCTCCTCCTCACGTAGCAGAGAGATCGGAGAGGAAGGGATTACAAGAGAGGCACACAATGGGGAATATACTGGACTGTTTGCATAGTGCGCTCAGAGCTACTGGCACCGACGCATTGCTTTCGATGTATATTCCTCACTGTGTGCCTACTTACTCTCTTGTAAACCATTCCTCTCCAGTGAGTATAAATACAAACAATAATTCCCTTCTTGTTAATTATCCCAGTGCCAGGGTGAGCATTCCAAAGGGCAGGGGAGTGGTTAGGAGGCAAACAAAAGCCATAGGTGCGAAACTGATTAATTTTGTCAGTTTTGAGCCGGCTATCCCAGTGCTGCTGGGTGAATGGGATAGGGTGGGGGAATGGGGAAAAGGAAAGCATAGTCGTCACATGATTTCCCACTTAGCAACTGCTTTGCT